CTGTCTCAAAAAGACCAAAAATAAATATATATTTTTTTTTTAAAAAAAGAAAGAAATACAAGATGCCAGGGCAGCCCAAAGTGTTAAAGAAAGCATGTTTAGAAAAAGAATACGAAGAGAAAAGGAAAGATTACACTTTTCTGATTTCAGAAAAGTGGACAGACTTATAGAGACCTACATGTCTGCAACTGGGTCCAGAAGCACTGCAGTAGGACGTGGAATTCCAGGCAGGAAAAGTTCACTATCTCATTACTAGGTATTCCGCCCATTTATTTAGCATAACTTAAGGTGAACCTGTCTTCCTAGGGGTGGTCCTATGACCAGCTGATTGACCAGTGAAACTGGAAATGTGGGTCTCCCAACAGATAGAATAAAGATTTCATAGTCTTGACTAGTAAGTCTTATGGGACTTTTGCTACTCTAACAGCAGGAGACACCTTGGATTGTGAAGAATGGGAATCAACTTTATGTACACTAAGGAAATAAAAGGAGACTAGATTATACACAGGAAAGTGATTCAGAGAACCTTGGGGGAAGATGGGCCTCGCATTAGTGAATTTAAACTTCAGGGCCCCGCAAATTGATGACTTTAGGGGACCTGGGTAGGACCTACTGATCTGTTCAAATGGCTGTTTTTATAAAAATTGTGATGGCATTTTAATTCACTTATTCCTGGAGTCTGTGCAAGATACCGTGCTGTGTTATGTTTTTTCCCTTTGGCAAAACATTGTAATAGCCCTATAAGTTTAACTGGTCAAGACTATAAAATATAGCCTGTTAAAAGACCCACCTTTCCAGTTTCACTGGTCAGTCACCTGTCACAGGACCAACCCTAGGAAGGTGGGTTCACCTTACGTTATGCTAAATCGATGGGTGGAGATAGCAGTTTTCCCAGCCTGGAATCCTGTCTCCTAGCACAGAACTTGTGGACCAGCCACAGTCATGTTGTCTGTAAGTCTGCCAGCTTTTCTGAATTCTTCAGAAAAGTGTAATCTTTCCTTTTCTTCTCCATATCCCTTTTCTAAACATCCTTTCTTTAATGTTTTGCGCTGCCCCTAGCATCTCATATTTCTTTACTTTCTCTAAAGCTTCCTTCTCCCAGCCATGTGGCTACAAGTCAGCCACATGTTTGACCTCCATGCAGGCACTAAACCTGCATGGCTTCATGGTTTTCTTTCCTTTTCCCCTCCATTCCCCTCCTCAAGGCAGCTGCCAAGATTACCAGCTTGCCTGCCCCCCTGAGGATTTTTCTTTAAAGTTCTAAGAAAACTGTAAAAGCTTAAATCTTGTACCAAGGACTTTACCTTTTGGACTTTACTTTTATCCAGTCTCCTCCCAGTTAGGGCTGTACTCCCTAAATTGGCTCAGAAAGTGCTGGCCAGCTAAATAGATTTGGCTGATTCAGAACTTTTTTTGAGGCTGAGTGGTCCTTCCAGGTGGTCCCGAACTCTGTAACAACATGGTCATCCCATTTTCATTTTGGACTATTCATTTTGGACCTTGAAATCAAGTCAACAAAATAAAACAGTGCAGAGATAGCTAGGCCTATGGTGATGCTAATGGAGCTATTGACACAGGTCTCTCACCTGGGATTCCAGACATTAATAACTCCTTCCTACTGCTTTCCCTTTCCCACCATTCCTCTGCCTCCTCAGCTGCAAGGGATCTTGGGATACTAGAGAATCTAGAAAGGTGAAGGCTAACCACCACCACTCCAATTTAAGTGTCTCAACAAGGCAAAACTTTACTTCTGATCAAAAGGGTGCATGACTCACAAAAGAGATGTGGAGAAGCAAACACATGGAGTAAAGGATGTAGTAAGTTTTGATCCTAACACAATATTACTGTGTCTTTTCAACATTAACTGGGGTCCAACTGGGCCCAACTGGGGTCCCTGGAAGGCTAAGAATCAGTGCAGCTGGGAGTGGTGGCACATGCCTTTAATTCCAGCACTTGGGATACAGAGGCAGGTGAATTGCCAGCCTGGTCTACCTAGTGAATTGCAGGACAGCTGTGGCTACAGGGAGACCCTGTCTCAAAAAAGACACCACACACACACACACACACACACACACACACACACACACACAAGAATCAGCACAATGGGGGCTGAAGAGATGGCTCAGTGGTTAAGAACACAGACTGTTCCTGCAGAAGACCCAGGTTCAAATCTTAGCACCCATATGGCAGCTAACTACCGTCCGTAACTCCAGTTCCAGGGGATCCAACACCTTTTTCTGTCCTCTGTGGGCACTGCATGACACGGTTGCACTTACCTACATACTCATACACATTAAAAAAAAAAAAGAATCAGTACAAAAGAAATGAAAGAGAAAAGGGTTGACCAAAGAGGAAGAAGGGTCATCAGTTTCTGGAATGCATCAAGCCCACCCCCCCAAAGTTTTACCAGATATATGTTGGGGGAGATATTAAAAGATTAGCATTCCCTAGGCCAGCTGGGGCTACAGGGAGACCCTGTCTCAAAAAAGACCCCCATCCCCCCAAAAAGATTAGAATTCCTTGTCATAAACCAAGTTTGACTGGGTGGGGAGGAGGGCAGCAAAAAGATTTGCATTCTTTGTAATAAACAGTGTTTGAAATAAAATACTATTATTTAGTGTTTCTTACAGAAAATAAGTCTATTAAGCTTGGTGGTTCACCAAATTGGACTTTGGTGAAATAGAAACTTTGATCTGTCCTTGGTGCCCTAACCAGGATAAACACACATTTGTTCACACCTCCCCAGGAAAGGCTGATGCAACACAAAGGCACTTTTTTTCTCTTGGGAAAGGATTGGAGGTGAGGAAAGCTGCTTCCATGAGGTTTAAGATTTTAGCTTATTTCAGTATTTCTCATCAATCACACATTTTCTTTTTAGGTTCATGCCTAGATGGAGCATGTAAGTACACATGGCAATTCTGATTTTTCATTAGAGTTTCTGTCGAGACTTGCTCTGTCTACTGTAAACTGTTCAAGTATTGGCATCATGAGTGCTTGCCAATACAAGGATTCTAAAATATACTGAAGGTTTGGAAACTAGTTTAAAACAACAACAACAACAACAACAACAACAAACAAAAAACAGGGTCTATATAGCTCAGATTGATTTCAAACTCTTGATTTTCCCTGCCTCTCGCCCCTAGTATTGAGATTACAGGTATGTCCTGCTGTGCCCAACTTAGATGTGCATTTTAGCTATAATTTGAAAAGAACTTTTGGGGCTAGTGAGATGGTCAGCAGTTAAGAGCACTGACTGCTCTTGCAGAGGACCCGGGTTTGATTCCCATCACCCACATGGCAGATACGAACCATCCTTAACTACAGTTCCGGGGGAATCCGAAGCCTTCTTCTGACCTCAGCATTGCATGACACGGGTGCACTCACATATATGCAGGCAATAAATACACTCATACACATAAAATAAAAATAATAAATAAAAAAAGAAAAGAAGGGTCTAGAGAGATGGCTGAGTGGTTAAGAGCACTGACTGCTCTTGCAGAGGACCCAGGTTCAGTTCCCAGCTGACCTCTGTGGGTGCACTTACACACATACACGCAATATACTCATACACATAAAATAATAAAATATTTTAAAAAAAGAAAAGATATTTTGCTATAGCTCAAGAAAGCAAGAACTAAAGACTTCTTGTTTAATAGGTATGATTGATCTTTTTGAAAGAGGGTCTCCCCATGGCCCCAGCCAGCCTGGAACTCACTATGTAGACCAGGTTGGGCTTGAACTCACAGAGATCTGCCTACCTCTGCCTCCTGAATGCTAGGATTAAAGGCATCTGCCACCACACCTGGCTGAGGGATACTTTCTTTTATCATTTTAATTTATTTATTATTTTGAATCATTTAATTTTTAAAATATATTTGATCTTTAAAACTTGTAAGGTTTATTTTTAGTTATGGGCATGTGTGTCTGTGCACATGAGTGTAGATGCCTGCAGAGGCCAAAATAGGATGTCAGATCCTCTAGAGCTAGAATCATAGATTGTGAGCTGCCTGATGTGGGTGCTAAGAACCAAAGTCTTTGCAGGAACAGGAAGCACTCTTAACCACTAGCCATCTCTCCAACTCCTGTATTTGAATATTTTATTGAGATAAAAATTAAGGTATATAAAAATAGATCTAATTCAAGATCATAATTTTTCTAGTATTTTATTTATTATTTTATGTGTATGAGTGTGTTGCCTGCATGTATGCAAGTGCACTTGTGTCATGCAATGCTTGTGGTGGTCAGAAGAGGGCGGTGAATCCCCTGGAACTAGAGTTACATTGTTATTAGCCATGTGGGTGCTGGGAATTGAACCCTGGTCCTCTTCAAGTGCAGCTAGTGCTCATAACTGATGAACCACCTCTCCAGGACCCCTAGCCCCATGGCTTTTTCTTGAGACATGATCCTCAAACTCATAGAGATCTGCCTGTCTCTGCTTCCCAAGTGCTGGGATTAAAGGTGTGCACCATGACACCTGATTTGAAAAAGGTAATTTTTAAAAGTAAGTATTGAGGGGCTGGAGACGTGGCTCAGCATATGGTTTTAAAAACAAATAAAATATTTTTTTTTCAGACTGCATGTGAACTTTTATTAGGGAACACATGACTTGGTAGGGCATAGGATTCAGTGCAAGAGGGAGTGGAGTGGAGGGCCCGCCACTTATCCAGGGGACCACAATTGGGAACATATTTGACCCCATAGCATTCAGGGATGAGGCGCTTCTCAGCTACAATGTCTTCAAATTCATCTACATTAAACTTGGTGAAGCCCTACTTCTTTGAGATGTGAATCTTCTGGCAGTCAGGGAACTTGAGCTTGGCTCTGTGCAGGGCCTCAATCACATGCTCCTTATTCTGCAACTTGGTGTGGATGGATGTGATGACCTGGCCATCATGAACCCTGGCCACTATGCCCTGAGGCTTCCCAAAGGCACCCGCATACCTGTCTGAAGCCTAGATTGGGGACAGCATTGAGATCAGAGACATGGATATCCACCAGAAAACTGTCTCCAAGGTCCCTTAGAGCAGTCCATATATATGCAACAGGCTGCATACACTACCAAGGAGGTTGCTGTTTGCAGCCATTGTACAGGAGGAGCAAATAAAATCTTATGCTGGGCATGGTGACACAGGCCTTTAGTTCCTAGGAGACAGAGGCAGGCAGATCTCTGTGAAATCGAGACCAACCTGGTCTACATAACAGGTTCCAGGCCAGCTGGGGCTACAGAAAGACCTTGTCTCAAAAAGACCAAAACTAACCAAAGAAACAAACAAAAACCACATAAACAAACAAACAAACAAAGCAAAACAAAGGAACAACAACAGAAACTAATTATGGACTCTTTTACTCTAGCTCTAGCCTGCTGTGCCTGGCAGGATGGGCAAGAGTTCTGGTCTGCAGACTGCCAGGAGGCCCTGTAGTCATGGACAGGACCTGAAGTGGCATGATAAACAATACAAGAAAGCCTATTTGGGCATGGCCCTTAAAGCCAACCCATTTGGAGGTGCTTCTCATGTAAAGGGAACTGTGCTGGAAAAAGTAGGGGTTGAAGCCAAACAGCCAAATCCGGCTATCAGGAAGTGTGTCAGGGTACAGCTCATAGTAAAAAACATCAAGAAAGTCTCAGTCTTTGTGTCTAGTGATGGCTGTTTGAACTTCATGTAGGAATATGATGACCCTCTGGCTGCTGGATTTGGTTGAAGCAGTCATACAGTTAGTGATATTCTCAGAGTTTGCTTTTTTTTTTTTTTTCTTTTAGATTGTTAAAGTAGTCAAATATATCTCTTTTGGCCCTGTAACAAAGGCAAGAAGGAGAGAAGATCCAATTTTTGATGATGGAAACACAGTAGGAATAAATTTTCACATCCAATAAAACAAAAACAAGAAAATAAAAAATTAAGTATATGTTATGTGTCTATTAGGCATGAATGCAGGTGCCCAAAGAGGCCAGAGTCCTGTTGTGAGCTGTCCGATGTGGATGCTAGGAATTCAAATTCTGATCATCTGGAAGAGAGGAATACATGCTCTTAACCACTGAGCTATCTCTCCAGCCCCATTTTGGTGTTCCTCTAAGTCAGGTCTGTTGTACATTTATTTAAAAGATTCTGTTTCTGGGCTGGAGAAATGGCTCAGTGGTTAGGAGCACCGGTTGCTTTTGCAGAGGACTTGGGTTTGGTATCCAGTACCTATGTGGCAGATAACAACCACTATCTGTAACTCCAGTTCCAGGGGATCTGACACTCTTTTGGGCCTTGCACACATGTGGTACACTTAGATACATGCAGACAAAACACTCATACACATAAATTTTCTGAAAATTAAAAAAGATTCTGCATCATAAAAGGCAAGACAAGAACTAAACCAAAAAGTGAACTTAGGGACTGTCCTAGTTTGCTTTCTGTTGCTATGATAAAACACTCCTACCAAAAGCAGCTTAGGGGAGGAAAGATTTATTTCAGCTTACATTATTTCTGGTCACAGTTCATCACTGAAGGAAGTCAGAGTAGGAACTCAAGCAGGAACAGAAGCAGAAACTATGGAGAAACACTACTTACTGACTTGCTCACTGGCTCATGGTGTGCTAGCTTTCTTATACAGGCCTACCTGCCTAGGAATAGTGTTGCCCACAGTGGACTGGGCCCTCCCATATCAATCATCAGTCAAGACAACCTCTCACAGACATGGACACAGGCCAATCTGATGAGGAAATTCTTTAGTTGAGGTTCCTTCTTCTTAGGTGACTCTAGGTTGTATCAAGTTGACAATACAAACTAACCAGGGCAGGGATTGAGTTTCTTTGCAGACTCAGAGCAGAGGAGAGGTATGAATAACTTTCTCTGTAGAAGCCCAGAAAGAAGTGGGAAGGATGGCTAGGAAGGAAGGAAGGATGTTCATAGACAGGGTAGGTTAACTCTAGAATTCAATTGGATGGTTGCCCAGAAGCATTTGTTGAAAGAGATGCCAAAGAAGAGATTTTTCTGGTTTATCTGGTGAAGTCTGCACAGTTACTTGCAACCAGGAATATGTGAGTGACTACATAAGTTTAAATGCTGGTTCAGCCACTCAAAATTCATTCCTGTGAACACAGTACCTAACCACCCTCAGCTTCTGGTATCAATGTCCTTGATACCCATAAAGGAATAAGGCTTCCAAGGATGAGCCTCCAAAAGCAAACTTTCAGGTTAATGTAGGGAACTAGTTTATTGGCTGTCACTCTGAGGATTTAGTTTACTCTTGCGTTTCTCATGGTGATTGTCACTGCCACCCCCCCATATTGGGATCTAAAGTGTTCTTCCACTTAACATTCTGATAGAAAAGCAAGAAAACTTTTTTTCTTTGGTTAGCTTGTCATACTGAAGACAGGTTAAAAATTTAAAGACTTTTTGCCGGGCGTGGTGGCGCACACCTTTAATCCCAGCACTTGGGAGGCAGAGGCAGGCAGATCTCTGTGAGTTCAAGGCCAGCCTGGTCTACATAGTGAGTTCCAGGACAGCTGGGGCTACAGCAGGGGGGCCCTGTCTCAAAAAAACCAAAAAAAAAAAAAAAAAGAAATTTAAAGACTTTTCTATGTAATCAGAGAGAACAAAGGGGAAATAAAAAGATGTGGAAAAATATTCTATCCAATGCACATATTATGTAATCTCATGTATGTATTTAATTTACATAAATGTATGTATATGCACATAAAACGTCTGAAAGCTTACATGTTAAACCATTTATGGCCATCTGTGAAAGGGGAGAGGTATGGAGTGGCCGGGTAAGTAGGAAGGCTAAGTGAGGAAGAGGGACTTGGATTGTGTGTGTGCGTGTGTGTGTGTGTGTGTGCATGCATTTGCGCGCACACACTGGAGGCTGCAGGTCAGCCTCAGATGTTTGTCCTCAGGGGGCCTTGACCAGCCCTTGACGCATACTGGGATTATAAATCATCAGGCCCAGTTTTTTTTTTTTTTAACCATGGGTTCTGGGGATTAGACTCAATATCTTATGCTTACGTGGCAAGCACTTTACCAACTGAACTCTCTTGTAGACTTGAATTATTATTTTTTGGTCTTTTTGAGACAGGGTCTCTGGCCCATAATTCGCTATGTAGACCAGGCTGGCTGGCCTTGAACTCACAGAGGTTCACCTGCCTCTGCTCCCAAGTGCTGGGATTAAAAGCATGTACTACCATGCCTGGCAGACTTCAATATTCTAAAAAAAATATTATTTTATGTGTGTGAGTGTAATGCCTGCATGTATGTGAGTGTACCCATGTTGTGCAAGCCTTGAGGAGATCAGAAGAGGGTATCTAATCCCCCTGGACCTGGAGTTACAGATAGTTATTAGCCACCGTGTGGGTGCTGGGAATCAAACCTGGGTCCTCTGCAAGAGCAGTCAGTGCTCTTAACAGCTGAGTCATCTCTCCAGACCCCAAGACTTGAATTTTTTATTTTTATATGTATAAGTGTCATGCCAGCATGTGTGTAAGTGTACCTGTGTTGTGCAGTACCCATGGAGGAAAGAAGAGAGCATCGGAGCTCCTGAAACTGGAGTTACAGATGGTTTTTAGTTTCCATGTGGATGTTGGGATTCAAACCTGGGTTTCTTGCAAGAACAGCCAGTGCTCTTAACTACTGAGCTATCTCTCCAGCCCCAAAACTTGAATTTATTTTTTTGGTCAAAAAAAAAAACAAAAAAAAAAACCCCAAAAAACCAAAGCAGAAGCTGGGCCAGAGAGATGGCTTGGCTCAGCTATTTAATAGCACTGGGTGCTCTTACAGAGGGCCCAGGCTTGGTTCCTAGCACCCACACAGCAAATAACTTTTAACTCCAGTTCCAGGGGGTCTGATGTTCTCTTCTGGCTGCTGTGGGCACTGTTTGCATGTGGTACATATACGCAGGTAAAGAACTCATGCACATAAAATAACTAAAATATAAAAGAAAAGCAATGTAATTATAACATAGATCTCTGTCCCATGATTCTTAGCTTGCTATTAGGACTTCTGACTACGTCAGACCTTTCCTACTAACCCGCAGGTCTTTAGGATACTTTGCAGCAAAACTTTCTGGGCTTCTTAGTCTGCTTCTACAAAGGATGTGTTTTCCTAAGACCCACTTCCAAAGAGCTCTTTCAGAGACATCAAGTTCTGCACCATGTTGGCTAATACCAAGGGAGCAGATTGCCCCATCTGGCAGTATATTCATGAGTAATCTAGCACTAATCCTGGGAAGCAAACATCCCCAAATGCAGAGCATAAAACAACAATCCTGCTGGGCATGCTTATAATCTCAGTCCTCAAAAAAGAGCTGAGGCAGGAGCCGGGAGGGTGGCGCAGGCCTTTAATCCCAGCATTCGAGAGGCAGAGGCAGGCAGATCTCGGTGAGTCCAAGGCCATCCTAGCCTACATAGTGAGTTCCAGGCCAGCTGGGGCTGCAGGGAAATCCCATCTCAAAAAGACCAAAAAAATAAAAGAGCTGAGGCAGGAAGATGTTGAGTTGGAGAGAGGTCCTGGGTTACATAGCTAGAAGACCCTATTATACAAACAAGAAAACAAACAAAATCGATCTTTTATTCTACAGCCCTGGGACTCCAAGATATTCGGAATGGTCCCAGACTGATCCCTGTGTTATCTTTTTTGGAGAGACTCCACAGACATGTTCTTCACCGTTGTGAAAGGGAGAAGTGCTAGGGAGGCAAGGAGAAACATGCAGTACCTCTTGAGGCCAGACTCGGAAGCCTCGTAGCTCTAACTTCTGTCCATAATGCTTTGGTCATAAGCAAATGAAATGATCTAAATCTATCATTAATAGGGTGGAGAAACATTCTCTCTCTAAGGTGAGGAATGGTGGATCCATATTTCAAAGAGCGTGGAGCATGAAAACTGGAGAACAGCAATTCCTTCTGCTCCTATTCCTATTTCTTTCCGGTACTTTCTTCTCAGAGTACTAAGAGAAATAGGATGATCTAGAACTTAAGATTTGTCTTTAAAGGAGTCAAGCTCTTGTCGAGTTACACAGATACAAGTATTATTATATTACTTACAAAGTATCAGAGGAGGTAGTGTTTCCCACAGTGATAGATTTTACAAGAAACGAGATACAATAGTCTTTTAGAAGGATGTGTGCCTACAGTACCGTTTATTATGTTCTAAG